TTGCAAGAGTTACAAAGCTGTCTATTCGTGATAAGTAAGCCCTGCTTACTTCTTTTGGTTCACCTTTGACTGTTTTAGCTATATTGCTTATAGTGATGGCCTATCTCCATTTGAAGCTTTTACATATGCTGCTCCCTCTGCCTGGCATGACCTTAACTACACCCTTTGAGTCTTTTATTTGTCTAACTATTCCTTTATTGCGGGATTTAGGTTCAAGAATTATATTGTAATCCACAGAATGTTATTCTACAAAATAGATTTTCCCTCCTATTTATGGAACAGTCATTCATTCAGCAGTTTTTATTACTACGTCTTCCACTGTCTCAGACAATAGGGAAGAATGCTGAACAAGACCGACATGAGTCCTTGTCTTTCTGGAGTTTCCATTTTAGTTGGGAAGACAAAACAAAAGAGGAAACTGACCAATGAAATAATAATTGTAGTAAAATGGCAGGAAGGAAACAAGGCTAAGGTAGAAAATAATAAAGTGAGGACAATTATGTTGTTTATCATAGTCAGAACTGGCCTTTCCCAGGAAGTAACATTTAATTAAGATGTAAAATAGAAGGAATGAGATTTGTAAGGGTGAATGGGATAAGAGAATAGCATATAGAGACCCTAAGATGAATGCCATGGAGTTGTGTTCTTTGATTTGGAAGATGACCATTGTGGCTTTACTGAAGTGACATGAGAAGGGGCTAGATGTTGCAGAGTGTTGGGGAACCTAATTAAGAAACTGGATTTCTGTTTATGTAATAATTGCTGGAAATGTTTTAAGCTGGTGAGTGACATAACTTTATATTTTAGGATCACTTTTCCAATTGCATGGAAAATGGTTGGAAGGGAAGAAAAAGGCAAGCAAGGAGCCTGGGTATGTGGCTTTACCAACGATCCAGGTAAAAGATGCCTAGAGTGATGATGGTATGGATGGAGAAATACAGACACATGCAGTATGTATTTTAGAGGTTAATGCAGTGTTTCTGAAAGCATACCTACATGATAGCATATAAGATTTGAGTTATATGAATATTTTATTGGAATATAACTAGCACATCAAACCAGTCATTTACTGAATTTATTCCTTGGGATAAGACAACTTGATTAAGCTAAAATAATTGGGTAAATAATAACTAGGTGGTAGTCAGATATGATAAAAATCATAAAGCTTACTTGGGATAGATACACTGTTAATGGATGTGATAGCAGGGTAAAGGAACAGGAGGAATAAAAAAATGTTTTTCCTTATTCCAGCTTAACAACTGAATAGAGAGCAATGAGATGAAGAACTGAGTCAGGGTTGGGGGGGCGTTAAACTTCACCTGTGGATAGTATGCCATGAGATGTTCAACTGGGGACTGTTAAATAGGTGATAAAATAGTGTATAACAGAGGGGACATGGGATTAAGATGATAATTGCTATATACTTAAATCCATGGGAATGGATAATATTACTTAAAAAAAATTAAAGAGAGAAAAAAGGCCCAGGACTAAGCCCTGAGAAACTGAAATTTAGAGGTCATATGGAAGAAAAGTTAGAAAAGGAAACTGAGGAGGAAAATCAGGAAAATGTGTAGTCAAGAGGCCAAAAGGGAAGAGTGCTTTAAAAAGGGAATGGTCAAGCATGTCAAACCTGCTGAGAGAGCTTTGTAAGAGGAGGAAAGGGAAGTGGGTACTGGGTGGAAATTGGATACAGCTTTGGCAACTGACAGGTTTTAATGGAGGGGTAAGAACCATACTTTACCAAGTTACAGAACAAATGGACTGTGGAGAAATAACCAATAATGAAGTTGTACCTATAATGCAGTCCCACACTGTGAATGTTATAAAAAAATTATTTTGAGACTACAATGTTTTCTTCCCTTTCTGGCTTCCTGAATTTTCCTTTAAAATGTCTCCTTTTTCCTTCTTTCCTGATGATGTTTTATATTTTAGTTAGAACCAGTGATTCCTAAACATCACACAGATCTGTAGCACCACTGAAGGAAATATCTGCCAACCTATCTATCTTAGACACTATTGCAGGAACTGCTAATCTTTATTGTGGAAACAGCCAACACATGTTTAATAGAAGGATTTTTCTCTCATTTGGTTTTCTTTTTGTACCTTGCTTAGATCATCACAAGCAAAGATTTTAGGAATTATTTTTTGTAATTAATTTTGAATTATTTTGCAATTAATTTTGTACTTCTGCTCTGCAGAGCAGAACAATGTAGAAGGTAAAGAAATGTGGCATCTGGTTTAATGCTAGTCTTTGAATATTACTAGCTGGTGTATGAGTACAATGGAGTACTTATCTGGTCATCTGGTAACATAAAATGGAAAACTAAGGTACTTGCCAAAAAGAATTTCAGAACTGAACAAATTCAATTAGGTTTAGGTCAGCAACACTCCATCATCCAGTGTCTCTAGTTCTTAAATACAGGACTACTGTCAGTGGCAGTCTGGGATTTCAGAATTACCTGAGGAACCTAAAAAAACCCAAACACCTCCAAGCCCCCCACCCCCCACCATAAAAACCCCCTAGGCCTCAGCCATAGAGATTCTGATCCAGCAGATTTGGGGAAGATCCAGGAACTGGCATTCCTAAAAAGCTCCCCAGGACCTCTGATATATATAGCCAGACTGTAGAAGTTGGTAGTAAAGCATCCCAAATGTATACGTGATAATTTGTTGCTAAGGTAATAAGCAGATGTAGAGAATCATGAAATTTTAGCACTGGGAGCACTTTAGAGAACACCAAGTTGAAACATCCTTTCTCTCCCCAATCAGCAAGATTAGGGTCCTGATTAGTTCACAGACACACAACTCCCGACCTGATCTGTTGCCTTCTGGCATTTCTATTACATAGGCCCTCCATTGTTCTTCTGTTAACTTATATACAGATATATTTTAATTTGCCTACTTCTACTTTATTGTACCTCCAAGAGTAGACAAAGTTGGAACTGAATGGATGCTTGCTGAATGGAGGAAATGTGCATTCTTGTCTACGGGTCTCTTCACAGCCTCTGCATGTCCCAGTGATCATACAGGACAGAGAGCACAGCTTTAGGTCCCAACATTTCCCATGGAAAGGCTGATATATAACATTTGTGAAGGCAGTACTACTTTGTCAGGTAAGAGTTACCAGAAGAGCTACTGGTCTTGGAGTCACTGAATCAGGTTAAAGTTCCAGGTTAAAATTTCTAGGTGATAGGAATCTATGAAAGACAACTGAAAGGCTGCTTTAGGGACAAATGGAGAGGAAAAAATAGTCAATCTCCACTTTAGAGTGTGAGCTAATCTCACAGCTGTCTCTCTGAGGGTAATTCCTGTCTACTATTTTTAAACTAAGATTTAGAAGTACTAGATGACAAAATGTTCTAAACAATACAAAATAAAATGATCAAAAGGTCTAAAATTTGTACAACAGGCAAATTTTAAATATTTATCTTTCTAAAGTAAGATACAGCTGCATATGCACACATGCGGTAAAAATAAAACAAAAGGAAGGCGTAAAGAATTTCTGAGTAAAGCATCAGAATGCTAAGCTATGCCAAGATGCTCTAAAAAGAAAAATAATTTGAAGGACTAAGATGTAAAAAGTAAAAGCCTAGAGACTAACAGATAAGAAGTTAAGAGGAAAACAAACAGAAAAATAAAAATCACACAAGAACTTACAACAAATATGAGCCAAGAGAACAACAAACATTAAATAAACCAGAAGAATTTAATATAATAAGATTTAAAAAATTGTTTTTGAAAAGAAGCCTCTCAAGCACCCATCAGCAGATGAATGGATAAATGAAATGTAGTATGTATTTATGATGGCATATTATTCAGCCATAAAAAGGACTACAGTTCTGACATATTTTACAACATGGATGATGCTTGAAAACATGCTAAGTGAAATAAGCCAAGCACAGAAGGATAAATGTTATATAATTACCATTATCTAGAGTAGGAAAATTCATAGGCAGAAAATAGAGTAAAGGTTACCAGGGCCTTGGGAAAGCTAGGAGTGGAGAGTTGTAAGTGACTGCTTTGTGGTTGGGTAATGACAGGGTTTTGGAAATAGTGCTCATGGCTGTACAACATTGTGAATATAACTAATGCCATGGAATCTACACTTAAAAATGGTTAAAATGGCAAACTTTATTATACATATTTTACCACAATAACAAATAAGGAAGCCATAAGACGAAAAAAAATCAGTATGCAACAAAACAGTGAAAACCAGAAATTAAAATACTGAGATAATGAAACATGCTAAAATACTGCAAGAATATTATGCCCCAAAGGTAACTTAAGGAACCTAAGTAAAAGGTAGGGGAGGTATGTCAAAGAGAGAGCAGCATAAATAGATAGCTTTAGACTCAAATATGTAGGATGATCATATAATTTACCATCCTATCCAGGACATTTTTGAGAGGAAAGGGGACACTATTAATAATTATACAAGGACAACAGGTGTAGATAGGGACTGTCCCAGGCAAACTGGGATGTGTGGTCACTCTCTATATAAGAGCAATCAGGTCCTCAAGGTTTTGGTCACGCCCACAACTTGGGGTCTGGCCAAAATACAACAGTCTGAAAGTATCTTCCTAAAGGACACGCTGGTCAAAAATGCAAGTTCTTTATCCATTATTTTACACAGAAGTAACAAAAAAATTATACAGTGTTTACTGAAGTAAAACTTGGGATTTAGAAAACAATCAGAATATTAAATTTCATTAATTTTTTTTCCCAGGAATTTTAGAAAGTTGAATTATACTTTGAAATGCAATGGGAGGCAAACTAAGGCACACTAAGGTGAATCATTTTTTATATCTATGTCTTTATATATTACGGCTCTATAAATATATACCTATATACTTTTTTATACTTTTAACTACAGACAATTGAGCCTGAACATTTAAAAAAATCAAACCAAAATTCATGAGAAAATTAGTAACTGATATCCATTCTTTAATTTTAAACTAAAATTAATGACTTATAAATAGGTTAATTTAAATTGTCCATACCTTACATGAGAAGCTCCGACTTGTGTTTCTTGCTAACTCTGATATCTTGGGTTTATTCTGCAGGCACTTGGTTAGGTGATATTTTTTCAATTTTATTCTATTGTAATAATGATCGGTGAAGTTACAGTGATTCAAATGCTGTTTCTGCATGCATTTCCCAAGATGAGGAGTACTATACTTCAAAGCTTGGAGAAATAATTTGCTCTTCTGCTGCATGATATCAAAGTCCCTGGTTTATGCTCCCTTTGGGCTCTCAGCACATGAATGATGTCATAGGTATGCTTACACAGTAGTGGGTTCTCAGAGCATCTAAGATCCGCAGTTCTTAAACCCAGCCCTTCAGGGCCACTGTACCCCTCAGGTATGAGCACACCTGAAAACTCAGGTTAAAAATATCTCAACACATATATTAAGTTAAAATTTCACTCAAATCACACTTTTTAGCAAATGTGACTTAAATGTCTCATTTGTAAAGTCAATCCTATCAGGCTTAGATTATGCAGCACTGACTCTGGTACACATAGGGGCAAACTAAAAAACAACAAAACAGAAAACAAAAAAATTGCAAATAAGTACACATACTTAATGGAGGTATCTCAGAAACTGAGGTTGTTTAAAGGCAAAAAACAGTTTTGATCTTACATAACTCACGACATATCTTTGGTATGCATATGGAGCATAAACTGGAAAAGCCTTATTAATAAAATAATAAAGGTAGAGGAGTGTTTGTTGAGTGCTTGCTGCGTGCCAGATACTTTTTTATGCTTTGTCTAATTTAAACTTCCTAAGAACCTGATAGAGTAGCTATTATGAATTTTACATAAAATTCATTTTACAGGTGAGCAAACTGTGGCTCTGGTAGGGTTAAGCAACTGCCCCAGGTCATTTGGACAGTAAATAGAGCAAAAACTCCAATTTTGATTTGGCTCCAATCTAGGACATAACGATTGGACTTAAACGTTTAGAAGGCATTTAGCTCTTTAGATAAAAAAAAAACAAAACACATTTCAGTATGCACAAATAAAATGTGGGGCCTACTTTAGTTTCTGTTGGGAAGGTGATTCTTATTAATCCATCAATAAGTAGTTAGTAATTAGTTAAGTCAGAGGGACCTGGGCTCAGGTCTTCACTTGTGCACTTACTATATGTGCCTCAGTTTCTTCATCTGCAAAACTGAGATGACATCACTTACTTTATGGAATTCCGTTGTCAGAATAAAATGAGACAATTTATGTTAAGGTGTTAATACAGTGGCTGGCACGTAGTAACCACTCAATAAATGGTAGCTACTATTAGGATAGGAAAAATCTAGGCATGTTGCACACTGTTGAATGTCATCATGGAGCCTTCCACAAAATGGCCCTCGGTATCAAAGGTACAATACTGCGTCAGATTTACCACAGATCTGATCTGTTACGACGCCCCCACCCCCTGTACCCTGCAATCTCTTTCTCTGTCGCAGCAAAATTAAGGGGGAATGGGGATTAGGGACTAGGAGTTGACAATAGCAAAAAAAAAGGTCCCTCAATAACAGGTCTGCAAAGGCCTAAATTACTATATCCATGCCGGCAGCCTCAACCCAACAGTCATCCGCGGGGACAAGGCAGTATGCAAGCCTAGGGACGGGGGTGGGGTGCACGAGTGGGTGTTCCCGGGAGAACCTTTTTCCCTGTGCAACTCTCCACCCCAAGGATGAGGAGATGTGAGGGCCAGAGGGAGTGGTACCATGTGCCACGCAGAGAAGGACTACATTCGAAAAGCGAGGACCAAGGACTGAGGGGTGGTTGGTGGAGGGAGGGAGAGAAGGGAAGACACCCCCAGTACCCGCCTCCCATACGTACGCAGATTGAAAGTCCGCTTTTGGACACCGAAACCAGCGAGGGGAAATCGGAGAACCAGAAGCCGTCAGGAAGGAACAGAGGTGTCACCTCAGTCGCGTCCACCCGATGACTGCGTTCTGCAGCTTGCAGAACGACAACCACCCAGAGTCACCCAGAGCTGGTTTGCAGCACGCCGGTTACGTAAGCCAATATAAGCATCAGGGCTACGCAAATTTCGCCATCTTTATTGTGGTCACGAAGGGATTTTATTTTTCCTCCTCCTGGTCCTTAGCCATCAAACATCTAAGCCTTTTGGCTCTTACTAGTCTTCTGAGTTCTAGATGAAGCGAGGGAGAACAAAGAGGGAAGCGTCTCCCTAGCTCTTCCACAGCTCCCTCACCTTCTTGCCTGCCCTCACTCAAGATGGCCACCATAAAAATGGTGCAGTGACACGAGCAGCGCTGCCTTGGTTGCCAAGGAGACGCGGATACCGGAAATGCGGAACTCGGGGCGGGCTCCGGCAGTAGGAGGGAGTCTGGGCGCCACAGGTCCTGGCAGGGAAGAAGTAGGAATGTCCTGACAGGAAAGAGTTACAGAGGCAGCAGCTGGGGCTATAGGGGACTTCAGCCAGATGGAATTGCGAGGCTCGCGCGCCGAGGTCGGCGAGGCTGAGTGCGCTGCGGCCGAGGACCCAGCAAGCGGCGCTTCGGCTCGGGGGCCTGAAGTCCCGGCGTCCGTGGGAGCCGCCCGGTGGAAGCTCTTGCGGCAGGTAAGAGGAGCCCCCTCGCCTCACCTTTGCCTCTGGCCACTCCCCTCGCAGGTGCTGGGTGAGCGACCAGCCGAACTCTCTCCCCTGGGCAGCTCTGGGAGTTCTCTCACAGTTTAGCCAGAAGCCATCTGAGAAGCGCCCTTCTGCTTCACCGAGGCGTCCCACTAAAAGAGAGAAATGGGGTGGGGTCGGGCGGGGAGAGGGCAGCCCAGGCGGAGTTGCTGGGAAACCCATACCGAAGTAGATCTCCTTTTAGACGTTTGTCTGCGTCTGGGGTACTTTTCTTTCGGCTCGCTAGTCCGAGTGGTGGGACCGCCGCTGCCCACGGCGTACTGCTCTTCTTGCTTCTGTTTTACTTCTGGTGTTTTCCCGGTTCTGAGCTCGCAGCCTCCGAGCCCCGAGTCTGGCCTCTCTCTCCGAGATCAGCGTGGTGGACTGTCTGGGCTGTGACGTTGCACGCGTTGCCTTGGTTTCTGCCGTTGAGCGGAGAGTCGAAGGGAGTAGCTAGAGCTGTCTCTCTTTCACTGGGGTGTGAAAGTTTTAGTTTGAAGTGAGCAATGAGATTCTCGGTGTCCAAGGCGAACTAGTCCGAGTGTGTTTATTTGTTTAGTGGCGGTTATCTTGTCGTACTTGCAAGTTGCTGCCGTTGCTGATACCTTCGTGTTCAGGTTTGACAGATTTCTGTTTTGACGTCACTGACCCGCTTTCCAAACTGCTGGGAGTAGAAATATTCTTATTGTTTTACACGCCAGTGTCATGCCTCTGCCTGAGGTTTCCCGCAGAGAACTACTCAAGAGAACCCTATCCATTTCTGAAGGTTGGATTTTGAGAAGAGTTTCTCAGCTATCTCCACTTTACTTGAGATGGTGTGTTTAGTTCTTTAGGGGTTACTTTGTTGCCATTGTCTCGGTGGCCTTCCGTGGTTTGTCATGACATAATTCAAAGATCATTTCTTTGTTGGTGCATCCAAAGTCTTCCCAAAGCATTAATCACCTGTTTTTTGCTGTTAATGTTACAAATGGTATTATAGAGTAGTAAAATGCACGTCCTCGTGGATCATTATCATAGGAATTTAGGTAAAATCAGTTAAAATTGAACTATCAAAGTAGTAAAGTAGGACCTTAAATTGATCAAATCTTATTGTGGTGTCTTCAGTGATTCTTAGTATGGTAAAAACTCTAGTTGACTAGTACTTAGGTTAATTCTGAATTGCTGTCTACAAACAAGGGCATGTTTCAACTCTGGCTACCATTTGAACTCCCCAGATGCTTCGACATTTAATGTTTTGGTACACATGTGCCCTCTGTTTAGCTTCTTTTTTATCTTCTCTATTCGATGAATGACCATTCATCCTTCAGGTTTAATTTCAGTCTCCTTTTCTTTGAAGCCTCTCCAAACTCCTCTGGGCTGAGTTAGACCCTTAGCTCACTTTACCAGTGAACCCTATCTCATAAAATTTTATATCATTTGATTAGAGGCCATATTTCTCACTAGAGTGGTAATTCTCCCTGGAAAGATAGTATTTTATTAATCTCTATCCTCTGCCTCTAGCATAGGGCTTGGCTAGTTGGTTTTTTTAGTAGATACTGTTAAATGTTATGGAAAGCCTAAGAATAAGATTCTTTAAGTGGTCCATATCACCTAGTCCTCAGTGTATTTATCAGTCAGCTATTGCTGAGTAACAAACAACTACAACATTACAGTGACATACAACAGTGAGCATTTATTTTGTTTGTGCTTTTGTGGGCCACTTCAGAGTTGTCCGATATAGGCTGTGATCAGCTGAGTGTTTCTATGCTATATGCTTGGCCCGCATGCCTCTAACCTGTGGACCAGTTGGCTGACATGCTTTTATGGTGATGGCAGAGGTATAAGAGAGCAAGCCCAACCACTGAAACACATTTTAAGTTCCTGCTAGCATCCTGTTGGCTAAGTAAGATACTTGACCAAGCCTAAAGTCAAGGGACAGAGAAGTATACTCTTTCCTTGAATATTGTTTTATAATAATTTGATCTATCATGTATATTAAACATTTGCATCTTATGTGCATCCAGAACTGGAAAACCGTGAGAGATATAAGCAGTGATAGAGATACACAGTCTCTCTTATGGGACATCTTCATGATATCTGCTAATATCTGCCTGTTTTTTCCTTCCTAAATTTGTCTTACCATTACCCCATAGGCTCCAGTGCTTTTTCATGGCCCTTCAGTTTAATTGTTCAATATTTTATATGTTATATAATTAACATTTTTTGAGAGAAAATCTGGTTGACATAGTTTATCATTTGGTACCAAATCAGTGATAGGTGACTGACTTTGCAGCTAGTGCCTGCTTTAATCAGATGAAGCCTGGGGGTCTAATGGGTTGGTATCAATAGAGGTGTGAATAGTGTTCTACTTTCCTCTTTGTTGGTTGGGTCTCATTACCTGGATGGCAAAGATGGCTCTTGGTAACTACAGCTTTTCATCATGTACCAAGCTAGTGATCCAGAAAAAATAACTGTTTTCCTAATACCTAAATCATTTCCTCCAAATGATTCTAACAGACCAAGGTTGGACCGTTTGCTTTGTCCAGGAGAATGGGGCACTTTGGCTAACCTAGGACATCAGCCCACCTTGTGGCAGGGAAGAATAACAACCCCATGATTGTTACATAGAGTGAGGGAGTGGCATTTCTTTCCCAAGAGGAAGGGAAGCAGGACAGATGAAAAATACTCATATTCACAAACACCAATAGAATGAAGATCTTACATATAGGTCTGACTATTTGGCTGAAGAATTTGATTAGTGGAATATTTCCTGGTACAATTTAAATTAAAGCAGAATGCTATATGTTAGATTATTAATGCTGAAAGAGACAACTTGATTTCTGGAATAGAATTTAATGCAACTTGATTTGAGGCCCACTTCTGTCCTTAACTATTTGTATGACGTTGAACCACCTCTTTGGATCTCAGCTTTCTTATTTATAAATGAGAGAGTGGGACTAGATTTCTTTAAGACCTCTTTGATCTCTGGTTATTTTAAAGTGAAATTATTTCCAGAATTATAAATCAATTCATTTTCTATTTTCTAATCCTATGTTGTCTTTTCCTAACAAGGATTTGAGTTTAACATTTAAAAACAGATGACATAGTGGATAAATAATGCAAAGAAGTGTATACATAAATGAGATCATCACACATTCTACTTTATACTGGGCCATGTGAACTGAAAAGTTGTGAATATAAAATACTTATTTTTACAGTATCAAAAAAAGCAATATAAAACATAGGATGTAAATAGTATATATGGCATGAACCCTTTAAGAATTACTCATCGCTATTTGTATATGGATGTTTAACTGTGTTCTCCCTGAATGGTGGAATTTTAAGGGAGTTTTTACTCTTCTGTATTTAAATTTTTTCAACAGTCAACACGATTATTTTTAAACCATTTTGCATCTCTTTCGAGATACATAGTTTTAAGTATTTTATCTTTATAATCGGAATATGTATTTTAGCTGATAGAATATTGGTCAATTGGCAGTCTACCCTATATAATATAAAAAAGAAGGAAAAAATTTTATATCACATTTGATGTCACATTTGATGAAATACAATCATGGGAAGGGAGGACAATTTTATTTCTTCATTTTGAGGAAAGCCACTGAAGACCTTTGACTACTAGGAAACTATTTTATGTGAGTGAACAAAATTGTTCCCAGAACAAGATGCTAAACAAATGGAAGATCTATTACCTGTATTGATTAATTTGAGAAAGTTGGTTGAAGAGGTGAGTCATAAAAATGATACATATTCTGAAGTGAAGCTACAGCCTGAGTGCCCAACTTTCTAGATACATACAATTAGTTCTCTGGATTTTTACAATTGGTTTCTCAAACCTAAATTGATAGTAAATTTTTAAACAATTTATCCTTTAGCAAACAAACTTACCTTTAGCTTCCCACACATTCAATTTAATTTTTATGGGAGTAACAACTCTGTTTTTTTTTTTTTTTTGAGAGGGCATCTCTCATATTTATTGATCAAATGGTTGTTAACAACAATAAAATTCTGTATAGGGGGGTCAATGCTCAATGCACAGTCATTAATCCATCTCAAGTCTAGTTCTCTTCAGTCTCCAATCTTCTGAAGCATAACGAACAAGTTCTTACATGGTGAACGAATTCTTACATAGTGAATAAGTTCTTACATGGTGAACAGTACAAGGGCATTCATCACAGAAACTTTCGGTTTTGATCACGCATTATGAACTATAAACAATCAGGTCAAATATGAATATTCGTTTGATTTTTATACTTGATTTATATGTGGATCCCACATTTCTCCCTTTATTATTATTTTTATTTTTAATAAACTGCTGAAGTGGTAGGTAGATGCAAGATAAAGGTAGAAAACATAGTTTAGTGTTGTAAGAGAGCAATTGTAGATGATCAGGTGTGTGCCTGGAGACTATGTGCTAATCCGACAACTCTGTTTTAATTACTATTTCATTAGTTTTTGTAAAATTTGATTAATGACAATAACAAGAACAACTGTTATTAAAAGAACTTGTGAAGAAGCACAACTAACTTGGCAAGCATACAGCTCAGCAGGGAATAGCAAGAATTGTGCATTGGCTACGGCTTTTCAGTTCACATGGCCTAGTCTGAATATTTAGTAGAGGAATGCAGCAGGTCTGATAATCCAGAGTCTCTTAAGAGAGCGGCTACTATACTTTGTGCTCAGTGTATGCCTTATGAATCTATTGTAAAAGATAAG